TATCGAAGAGACAAGCTCTGGAAATCTTCCGGAATGGACGCGGCAAACAATTCAGCATCTACCGCGAAAGAATTTATGATGAAGTCGCAAAGAAGTGGCTCCTGGTCTACAGGGTCACAAAAGATTGCGGAAATGTCGCGTACAAGGACTTCTTCGAGAAGGTCGCTGTTCCTGAGGTGAAGGAAAGGAACGAGATCTTTGGATTCTCCCGTGCATCAGCCGAGAAAACTGGGGATATCATCGAGTTTTGGCTTGGTGTCTTGGATGTGGCAAACATGGCCAAAGGAGTTGTGAATGTTTTCAATGCCAGCGTTGATCCTGCTGAGTACCTCAACGGATTGGAAAAGGCATTGGCCCAATTCACATCGACCTCCAGAACTACAAGCACCATCAATGACAAGAGACGGGGATCATTCGACTGCACCCTGCAGACTGCAGAAGCCGAAAGAGTCATGAAGATCATCCACGCAATCCCCGGATATGAATCGCTGGCCAACTTCTGCTGCCTCACAGAGTGGGAGAAAGATCAGGTATTCTCTCAGTATCGAAGAAAGCACAACATCACAGGGGATGACGCCAGCATGGGCGCTGATGCCGATGCCAAGCCAGGTGACGAGTCGTCGGCTCACCCTGGGGAGGAGGAAGCTGATGAGCCAGCAAATGATCCCACTGATGTAGTCAGGGACTCAGAGATTTCCGGAAAACAACAACTCTTGGATGCGTTGGGAAAACTCTTCACCGTCTCTGAGGATGTCAATGTGTGTTTGTACTGTGGTAGCACCAAACATGGTCACCTTGAATGTGAACATGAGAAGAAGGATGAAGTCAGAAAGGTGCTAAAGGCCGTCCGAGCGTCGCTCGAGGCTGATAGTCCCACATCTGATGACGTCGATATGGAACCTCCTGAGCACAAAAAGGACGGATCAGGTGCTACTGAAGGGTCGGGACAAACGGATGAACCTACAAAACCGAGGTTTAGTGAACACCAGTGGTACGACAGCATCAGGACTATGTCCGAAGTCGGAGACCTCGATGAGTATGGTAGGTTCTGCATTGAAGGACGTGATGTTACAAAGCTGGGACCGCAGAACGTAGTTGACCTCAACGAAGTGATCCGGGACGCTATTGTCAGAGGAGGAGGTGACACTTGGTCAGTGCCAGAATTCCTTGCAAGCTACTCTGACAACAACATCAGAAAGCCCTTCTACAAACGAATCGAGGCGCCGCAAGATGGTTTCTTGAAAATCATCCCTACAACAGGAGCCCATTTCTTCAACTGCTTTTACTTTGGCGGTGTGGAGTATGCGGCCAACTATCGCTTCGAAACTGGCAACCGACTCGACAGCTATGAGGACAAGGTGAGTACCTCACTGAACAGGATCCTGCGGCACAATGTGGGGAAGGCATCAGAATCACAGAGTCTATTTTGTGACGACGCCGGCTGGGTGCCCATCGAGGAAGTGCTCAAATGTGAGTCCATCTGGAGACATGAATACGCACGCTGGCCGCACGTCTTCCTCGTCCCCAAAGGAAGAGCAAATGACCAAAGTGCATGGAATGTCAATGAGGCGAACTATCGCATGACATTGCTCTTCAAGATCATGTTCCACTGTGCCCGATATGGACGTCGTGTGCGTGAACAAGTCTTGGCGTTCGGGATCAACAAGGACATTGATCGCAGCAGCCTGACGTGCATTGACAACAAAGTCGATGCGGACACGCACATCCCTGACGAAGGGCTACTGCTCTATCCAGTGGCAGTCCGCGCTCCAACGGGGCACAAGGAAGGATCTTCCAGAGATGACGTCTCATTGCTGTCATCGTTGCTTTCGCATCCAATCGCACCCAACACCATCATGTCATTACCGGTCTGCTTCCACATCACAAAGAAGACCAACCTCCGAAGCATCTGGAGGCAAGGGTTAATTCCAGGAGGTCTTGGAGAAGGTCATCGGATGTTCACGTTCTTCAACCCGTATGTGCCATGGGATCATAGATCATGGACCATCACGAAGAGCGTTGATACGCGAAAGGGGGACTATATCTGCCTATTCATCCCGACCGAGACCTTGATGGTGGAGTATGGCGGTCGATTGACTGACTCGGGACAGATCGTTTCACCGAAGATCATCCCGTTTTCGGCGATCAAAGGAGGATGGATTCAGGATCCCAAGGACCAGTACAACAAGACATGGCTCCGGTTGTTCGTTCCGTCGGGCGACGACCAGGTAGTCCGGCCTGGCACTGTCAAATCAAGAACTGTAGCCACCAAAGAGTCCATCCTGAGGGTCGCAAGTCAATGCATCGACGCCGAAGACCAACCATATGACGAGATCACCATGGATGCCATGAACATCGTCCACCAATTCAGGAACAACCTCATTGAGCCTGGCGGACAAGAGCAATACCTGGCCCGCATCAAGCTGATTGACTATACATAGTCGAACGCGAAAGGGTGCAAACTTCAGGTTGTCGTCATTGTCCTCATTGTCTCAATGAGACGCCGACGAAGTTAGCAGTGTGTCTAGTTTGTTGGACAGAACTTGAAAGCTGCGGAATTCGACCATATATCGGCTACAAGCTCCTGAAGACGATGAAGATGAGGCCACAAAGAAAGAGCTCGATGAAGAGGTTCGTCGACAAGAAGAATCGTTGTTCAAGGATACGGTCCATCAAGCACAAGAAAACGTATCTGAATCCAACGACTATGGCTTCAACCCTGACGAGGTCGACTACAACGAAGGCGATGATGAAGAAATGGATCAGGAGGAGGAAACTCAACAGGAAGACGACGAAATCGTTGAAGAAGAAGACGACGATGAGATGGACGTCGAACCTGAAAATGAACCTTCATCCAAACTACCAGCATGGACCAAGAATCTTGAGTGCGGAAGCAAGGGTATGCCAGGAGACGGACTTGTCAACAATGATGTCTCCGAGGCCGCGGCTCACTTGTACGACAACGCCGTAATGTCGAAGATCATCGCAATGTTCAGACTCTACTACAAACAGAGAGTCACTCTGACCCCAGAGGAATACCATGCGATGATGACGGAAACCAAGCGAGTCCGGCTGGACCTGGACGACTTCTGCCCTTACACAGGCGAAGACCAGGATGGCAACCTCAAGCGACCGACGGAGCTGGAATTGGACGAACTCTTCCAGGAGAAAGGGAAGAAGAACTCATGGTCAGAGGGAGAGAAGATGTACTCTGGACGACCAAGAAACATGATGATGCCTGTCATCAAAACCTTAAGAGGTCTACGAAAAGATGATGGAATTTCTGGTATGTGCCGGGTACACTCCCGAGTCCTTAGGTTTCCTCATGCCAATGAACCGAATGCAGGCTGATGCACAGGGGAAACAGGAGATGAGAGTGACAATCAGCAACTTTCTCCGACGACTGCTGAAAGGGACCTTTCCAGAACATGAATCGTATACCTTCTTCCGTTCCGGGAGCCACGGCTTCCCCAACTGCATTGAACTCCCAGCTTTCTCGGTATATCTGAGTCTGAGAGAAAAGGAACAAAGGGTGGAACTACTCTTTGCTGCACAACAATGCGGAATTCCGTTACCTCAAAACTTTGTCAGCAAGATGGCTTATGCTATTCAACTGGCTGAAGCCGAGGCGCAGAGGGGAAAGCCCGAGATGAAAATGAAGATGGCTCCAACCCTTGGCGACGAAGTGGTGAGTGAGGTATTCAAAGCAGTCGGTGGTAGTGCCGCTGCCAAGTTTGCCACCGCAGACGCAAAAGCCAAATCGTCAACACAGCCTTCGCAGAAACCTGAAGGTACTGGTTCAGCGTCATCCTCATCGGCCAGTGCACCAAAGGCTAAGGCTATGCCGAGGTCCTATGAACCATCCAAAGCACCACCTGCGAAGCCTTCATCGCCGAAAGCTGCTCCGAAACGTGCGGCAGGATGGGAGAAATCCCCAACAACACCTCAATGGAAGAAAGTCCGCCGTGAGCAGTAAACCAACTACCTCTGTTCATCCAAATGATCACTGGACTATAAGATGTGTATCGTCTTTGTGAACAGATGATCAGGAAAAGACCAACTGAGTGGACTCTGAGCGAGGCAGTAGATTAATTCGCTTAAGTCCAAGATTTTCATTATTCCCAATCTGCACGAGATTCTGCACAGTGCACGTGAATTCGTTAGTTAGCATTGTAAGTCTTTGGTGGCAAAACGGTCCACTTCTCCCGTCGGGTGAGTGACCTGCATAGCCGACGCAGAAAAGTAGATGTTAGCTAGCAAGAATTCGCGATGTACAGCTTGAAGACGCGCCATTGCATCGACAGCCATAGAGTAGGCGAACCCGGAACCATTATTCCCGTCGGGTATGTGGGAAAGGGGGAGCCGAATGGCAGGTTTTATGTAAATAGGCGTAATTCAAGTAGCAGAAGTCCTTTAATTCAAAGTTCCCTCTCTCGTGTCCGTGGTCCGAAGGACACCGCGGACATGGGGGGTGTCAAAGGGAACTAGGCGATAGCACATGTACAACAAGCATGTGATATATGCACGGGACGCCATATTGGCTCAAGACCCAGCAAGGAAAAGTGTCGCGTGCGTTGCTGTCTAATGGACTAATAAGCTCGACTACTAGCATTCCAGGGACTCAAACAGGGATAACATCCAGGACAAGGATCTATTTGTTCACAATATATATATGCATGTAGCACGTACATGTGTATACAATTATATACGACTCTGTGTGAACTTTGGAGGCCACCTGTGACAGCTAATGTTATGTCATGTCATAGCAGTACCAGATGCCTTTAATAAAGGGTTTGTCCAGAAATGACTTCTACAGCCCTAAAAATGGATATGTTATGTTTAAAAACATATCATCGTTCAATGATGTTTAATGATATTCACATTTGGATAGGTACATATATAATTCGGAAAATGATGATGTTGCATTTGATTTGTGTTCCTCCATTTTTTGTTGACAGATCCCAATTCATAACATTCAGAATTGATCTGTCCCTGGGCAGGCTGCACAGAGTCTGCCTTTGACACAGGTGCGGTGGAATAGTTTCTACAGCTCAGTGGTTTCGGTGTCAATCCATTTGAGGTTTCAGAATTTTACCATATACGCAGAATCCGTGAAAAACACTGGGTTCAATATTTCTCATTCTGGCTTCTGGATAGACTTTTATTGCCATATGGAGGTTTGCTAAAATGGGGTACCTCCAAATCATCATTTTTTTTCTCGGCTTTTCCATAAAAGAAACCATCCAGCTATTGGGCTACCCCCAGTTTAGGAAACCTCTGCCATCTGGTTATTTAATATAGCCATGGAAAATCCCAACCATAAATGGAGGCTTCTAGCTGGGAAAATCATCTATAAATGGGCCATTTATACCATGGCTATGTTAAATAACCAGAGGGTATGGATGATTTGGTTGCTGTTTTGACGGAGCGTCCCGGCCAGTTTCATAACGATGCCATCAATGAGTGCGGGGAAGGCGTCTTGAAACACGATCTCAAGGAGGCCGGCCGTGGCGGAAAAGTTGGGAAAATCCTCCAACGAAATGGTCACTCAAACTGGGAGGCAACAAAATCTCTGGGAATTATCATGATGTTCAAATGATAGTCACTGATAGTCAATTTTCTTTTGCTCCAGTGGTCAGAAACTGGATAGAATGGTCAGCCCATCCCACTGACATCGACCATCACGAAAGGTCTTAGAGATGCAATATCAACACCGCGGTCAGTACTTCACCACCATCCAGGTCCGATCCGTGATCCGTGAGTGATCAAAGGAACCTGGGAATGGCAAGTATACACTGTAGAAACTAATCAGAACAAAGAGAAATGATGAGTATCCATATAACCCCATAAACTTCCATACTTTTGGGCAGATAGACATGGGTCCATGTAATTTGGGCGGACGTGTTCCATTTCTCAATGCTGCGGACGTTCTGTCGTGGATTTGGAAGCTACAGGATGATCGACGTCGGGACTTTGGTATCATTGAATTTCCCTTCGTGCTGACGCCTGTGTCGAAGGTGCTGGATGTGAGAAACGGGAACATCCTTTCTGATTTTATTGTTCAATTTCAGCATATTTCAGCTGGGGCACTAGTTTGTTTGACAAGTGCTCGGTTTTTGATTCAGTCAACACTAAAAAACTATTCCCAGAAAAAAAGAACAGGTTGAACATGAACATGTTTGAATATTTTTGAAGCCTCCAGCTGCACAGGCCATGGGTTTGATGGTATACACAGGATCGGCGGAGTTGGTGCTGAAAGATAACAGGATACTGGCTGTATATATTTGATAGATACTATATATAGATACCATGTATAATTGGTGATAGTTGGTTTATAAACACCATTGATATAATTGGTTGTTGGTTTATAAACACCACTAACTATACCTAGCCCCTCCGGGACTAGCCACCAAAAATCGTGTTCCACCCCATTATGAGACAAGGCGGGGCCCTCAAACGAGCCAGCGAAGTTGACGTATACCTTGATTAGTGATTTGGTTTTTGATAAATGATTTATGGGAGATATAAATAAGGAGACAAACCACCACGCATACCCTCCAGTAAATTAACATAGACCCTGCCAGATAGGGGTTGGGAGATTAGTTTCCTTTGAAAATTTGTTATTTTCAGGGTCTATGTTTATTTAACAAAGGGTAATTGGGGGATTTAACATCAATCTGTAGATAGAATATGGGATGTTCAAAGATATTCCAGTTTAGTGAGTTTTCTTTTTGTGAAGTTTCCATGTTCTATCTACTTCACGATGACTCTATGTGTATAGTATTGTATAGCATAATATACACCGACATGATTATCATGACTAGCCAACTTTATTGGTATGGTACCCTCTGGTAATTTAACAGTTTGCTATTGAACATGGCCCATAGAAGTAGTTGATGTACCTCTTAAAGATGGTGATTTCCATAGCTTTTTGAATGTTTACGAGAGGCGACCTTGGACATAACGTCACGCGGATTTGAGAAATGTTGGGTGGTCACCGGGTTATGAAGGGGGTTGGTTAAATCATGTTAAATCCCCATGATAAATATACTATGATACTGTAATCATCATATGAGTGCCCACATGTTGAATCAACTTTGGAGGATATTCTAGTAGTAGATAACAGTAGATATACAGTAATTATATTTAGATATTCTAGTAGACAATAGTGGACTATACATAGACTATGCATATTGACTATGTATGTCTCAATCATTACTGTACTTTTTTTTAGCACAACACATCACATGAAAGTATTTGGATACTACATGGTATACTGTAAATATATAGCATTATATAATTTGTGGAATGTTCAGCCATATTTAGATAGACGTTGATCCTTATCGTCCATCAGCCACAGGTGCGAATGCTGAACATCGAATCCCTGTTACTTCAGAGAGAAGAGGTGCTGTGGTTTCGGGGCCAGGTGCCACATCATGGAGACAAGGAGAGATGCTATGGTTGTGAGAAGATGATCATATGATGTACCTGTCATATGTGCTTTGGTGAACTTCTTGTTGATCATGTTTCGCTTATCAGAAGTCAAGCTCTAAATCCAACATATATCCAGAAAAAAACAAGTTATGTTGCAATGAAGCAAGTTCTAATTGTCTGAACTTATCAAATCAAAAAAACAGCTTTTGTTCGATGTAAGGGCTTTTCCTTCAAGACACCGACTACGGGCTGAACAAAATCCACCGTGGACCTCTGAAAGCTGAAGTTGTTCTTGTTCAGATCCTCCGAGCGGACCGTTACCAAACATACAGCTGGTTGGTGGTTTGGGATAATCTGTCCCATTGACTAATATTTTTCAAGATGGTTAAAACCACCAACCAGACAGAACTGGAAGGTGCTATCTTTCTGCGGACCTATATAGATCTGATATGACAATGATATGTACACATCATTGTATCGCAAAAATTATAAGTGAGCATCCACTGTCATCCATGATCAAACATTTAGAGTATATGTTGTTTCATCCATCATCCATCATCCATGATCCATCATGCAGCGTAATAATAATAACAATGATAACAATAGCTAATATATTTCAATCGTAATAACAATACACTTGGTAATCATCACGTCAAATAATCATAATTATTATTTATAATGGTAATGATAGTTATTATAATAACAACAATAATTAGTCACAATCATAATCGCAAAAATAACAATCATCATCATAATATTGTTAATACTAATAATAATAATAATCATCATCATCATCATCATCCGTTGTTACCTATCACCATCCACTACCATCCATATATCATTCATTATCAGCCAGTATCCTCTAATATCATCTATTCTCAGCCATTTTCCTCCAGTCGCATCCATTGCCATCCAACATCATTAAGACATCCATTATCATCCATCATCACCATTCATCACCATCACCAGCCACTATCATCCATTCTCAGTGATTATCATCCATCATCAACCATTATCAGCCTTTATCGGCCACTATCCTCCGCTATCATCTTCATTTTCATCCACGATTCCATTGGATCTGGCCAGATGCGAAGCAGCATGGCATTGTCTGTTGGATGGCTTAGTTGGGGACAGCTTGACAGAGAAGTTCGAGCGGTTCTGCCAAAACGTGGTCCTCCATATTCAACATCCAGTCTATTGAAGGGTCACGGTGGTTCGGCTTTTGAAACCTCATTTGGATGTTGTTTTAGAATGTTTCAGATTCGTCATGATCCGAGGTTGTTCATGGATCAACAGGTCAGATAAAGTCTGGGAAACCGGTTGCCCAACTGGCCAGTGCCTGAGGTCTACCTCCGTTTCTCACTCAACCAGAACCCTTGGCTGGTGCTGAAGGCCCCGTAAGTCAGCGGTAATAGAAACATGGCAATGGGAAGATTTCCCCCCATTTACAGATGATTTTCAATTTGATTTTCCATGGGGATTTCCTATTGCCACATTTGATTTTACCATGTTACCAAAGGAATTTACCATGAATTTACCAACTCTGGGGTGTTTGGAGCCACTGTGACAAAACTCATTGACGTGCTATGCCTGCTATGCAGATTGACACAATATGCAGGCTCGGCTCAGTGGAGATTCAGTTCTTGTTTTGTGACAAGCCGATCATCAGAATCTACACTGGTGAACTGTTTGTTTTTCAACATGAATTTAAAGGCATCTTGCCAATAAATATCCATCAATTTTCACATTGCCTTAACATCTTAACCCTAAATTCAAAAAAGAGTCAAGTTGCCACTCTAAGATTGGGTAAACGATGGAACATGAGATAATAAGCCCCATTGATTGTCCCCCTCATTTTGGCTATGTTGGGATCCCCCGCAGTCATCCTCATCGCTTCTGCACGAGAAAAACACGACCGACCGAGCGAAAAAGGTCCGTCGTAACTCCATCGTGGAGGATGCCCTGCAGCAGCTGGCGGTCTTTGGTGTTGGGCTTGGATGAGCTGGATGATGGGTCAAAGTGGTGTGGGCTTGGGCGCCCCGAAAGAAAGCACATGGAAGCCGTTTGAGACTTTGGGTTTGTAAGATGTGTGTGTGTGTGTCTTTTTTTTTTTCGATCTTGGATCTAGTCATGATTACATGGATTTTTATGGGGTGGGGTTTAATTCACCCCTATTCTGGTTGACCAGTAACAATACATGTAAAAACACCCGAAACAACTCATGGATACAGCTGAGAGATCTAGAGAGGATATTAGGGGAATCTTAGGGGATAGAGCTGTGTGTTTTTATTTCCTACGACCAGATTAGGCATTGATAATTCTTGGCTACTATTCCACAGGATTGCGTGCACACACATATATAATCATATATATATATATAGAATTCCCATGTTTTTACATAGGAACAAGGGCTGATTGTTCAGCTTCATGATCTGTCCGAGTTCGATTTGAATTTCTCTGAATATGTGTATAATTGTACATATTATATATATATATATGTATACCTGTGTATATATATATATATATCATTATATATATTGTGTATATCTACTATATCATATATGTATATCTCTTGTATATGAAGATGTATATATGCATGTATACATATATGGTATACATGTATACTAAACACATATACATATATATATATATATGTATATATATATACATAGTATTAAGTCTCTCCAGTATAAGAAAATTCTGACAGTCGACACTCGACCCATCAGCGGTCAGTTCCGACCTGAGGTCGAGATCAACTGAAGAAACCTTTGAAGGTGGTCTTCGACGGCGAAGAAGGTGCGGACTTTCAGCGCCGGGGGACCCCCGGGGGACGGCCCGGGACGGCCCGAAAGAAACGACCGACCGAAAGTTCACGGCACTGAAAGACTAAAGGAGAGAAAGAAACCTGGGAATGTGATGCTATCGGCATGGTTTTTGTAAAAATCCATGGAGAACCTGAGAAAAACATCGAACTCGAGTGTTGGGCAGAGCTTTGGGAGATGCTTCGTCGACATTCGTCGACCCCTTTTTGCGGTGAGGCGTAGATGAGGGTGGCGTTCAGAAGGACGGCGACACAGAAAACGACAGCAATCGATGATCCTCACATGAGATCCTCATTAAAAAGAGAAACGTGTTCTTTCATATGTAGATACACACTATCAATGATGTTTTTTCATGCAACATAATATACAATATATATATTATGTATATATATACATTTTTGCATCAGATGCGATCTATCAAGTATGTGGGTGAGCTCGAATTCTTGGAGTTGACCTTGCGTGACCAGTTGCCCTATGTTGCCTTCGGATTGCGCAGGAGTTCTTTCAGCTGCTCGTGGAGCAACTCTACAATGAGGTGCTGCGCTGCCTGGAGCAATCTGAAATCTAAGCTGATGGCTATGATTTTCTGGTGAGGTAGAGAAAAATTCCATCAAGGCAAAGAAATCCCTGGGTTATTTCTTAAATAACCTTTAGGTTGTGAATTGATTGATGATTGAAGTTGCACACTGTTCAATCTGCGTTCAAGCCAAGTGGACAAAAAAAATGAACTAGGACTAGGAAGATCAACAGTTTTGGGTTTGAACTGGCAACCAACATATCAAATAAGAGTATATGATATTCCTGTAATCCATTTAGGAGATCCCAATCTCTTCTTCTTGCGAGTGTGGCGACTTTCACCACTGTTGAGCATCCAGTCTGGGTACAGTTCACAATATATTTATACAGTTTAAGTTGCCTTCACCTAAGGGTTTTGAAACACAAACGCGCGGTTCAGGACTATGGCATGTTCGAACGGATCGATGAGATACTTGGATATACTTGGCTTTTGGTGTTTGTCAACGCGTTCTTTCAATCCAGAAGAATCCCAAACAGGAAAGAGAACAACAGCATGCCATCATTGAGTGTCTTTGATGTTAATCAGTTGGGAGACCAGATAGCCAATGTTTTAGTTTGTCCCTTTTTCTCAAAAAAACAATGGCTTTATAATATGTATGTTTGTGTTAATTTGTATCAAATTTGGTTGGGAAGTCCTTTCATCATGTTGTACGATCTGTGATATGGTTGGGGTAAGCTCTCGTCCATGTGCAAGGCTGTGTTGGCACCTTTTGCTCTTGTGAACACTCCTTGGTGGTGCATTTGGAGTTATTAATTGTTATTATGGTAGAATCAACCATTGTGAACCCCCATAAGTTGGGATATAATTTGATACAACCCCCTCGAAATATGGCCACATACCCACTGATTCAAGTGGAACTGCTCGTGGAACTGCACCAAGGAGCAGAAACTTCTGGTTCAACAAGAACTCCTTCGAGGCAATGTCTGACGGTTGTGTATCCAACGACCCCATGGAAGGTTCAGCGGCAATTTGAGTTGGGCTTGAAAACCTCACTTTGTGGACATATATTTTTGGGTTTCCCAAAAATGGAGGGTACCCTCTGGTAATTTAACATAGCTATGAAAAATCACCATTTTATAATGGGAAAATCCACTATAAATGGTGACTTTCAATAGCTACGTTAAATTACCAGAGGGTACCCCAAAACCCATCGCTTTTCAAGGCTAATCGCTGCTATGGCGGGGAAATTTTGTTGGATGACAAATGGGGGTTTGCCAAATTTCGGTGAAACCTCCGTGTGGATAACCCCGCCAGGTGTTGAATCCTGAAAAATCGGATGAAATAACTAGAGTTCGATGGTTGGAAACCTGCAACAGGATCAGATGAAGGCACAAGTTTGTTGAAATCCTGAAGAAAAGCAAGTTTTTGAATGAGCCTTGTTTGTCCGCTTGCATCGATTGGACAATCTTTATTCCCAACCCAGATCTGTTTCAAAAAATCACTAGTCTCAAAATCTAGGAAGAGTGTCAGCTGTAAAACAAGATGTCCTTTGTTTATTTTCCTGAAACAAAATGACTTTGCATAGATTTGGGGGTCTTGAATCAAGTTGAAAAGTCAGAGTCCACATGGGTCCACATGCTTGGCAGGTGAATCTCCAGTTCGAGCTCTTTGGCACCGTTTTGGGTTTGGCCATTTACAACAATGTCAGGCACTCAGGTGCCGAAGGTGATGGGGTCCAAAGGTGATGCTGTCAACCATGGCAAAGGGTTTCCACGGCAGAGAAATGACAAACACTCGAGGTCATTCTGGATGTCCACTTCCCCATGGCAGTGTACAAGGTGCCTGACCGCGGGGTCAAAGATGGTCAAAGCCACCTTGCTGATAGCACAGATCCTGATGTCGTTCTTTCCATATCGCCTTTTGAAACACCTTGGGTTTAACGACCCATTAGCACCCCATTAGCAACCCGTTAGCACCACATTAACAACCCATTAGCACCCCATTAACAACCCATTAGCACCCCATTAACAACCCATTAGCACCCCATTAACAACCCATTAGCAACCCATTAACAACCCATTAGCACCCCATTAACAACCCATTAACAACCCATTAGCAACCCATTAACAACCCATTAGCAACCCATTAACAACCCATTAGCACCCCATTAACAACCCAGTAGCACCCCATTAACAACCCATTAGCACCCCATTAACAACCCATTAGCACCCCATCAACAACCCATTAGCATCCCATTAACAACCCATTAGCAGCCCATTAACAACCCATTAGCACATTAACAACCCATTAGCAGCCCATTAAGAACCCATTAGCACCCCATTAACAAACCATTAGCACCCCATTAACAACCCATTAGCACCCCATTAACAACCCATTAGCACCCCATTAACAACCCATTAGCACCCCATCAACAACCCATTAGCAACCCATTGACAACCCATTAGCACCCCATTAACAACCCATTAGCACCCCATTAACAACCCATTAGCACCCCATTAACAACCCATTAGCACCCCATTAACAACCCATTAGCACCCCATTAACAACCCATTAGCACCCCATTAACAACCCATTAGCACCCCATTAACAACCCATTAGCACCCCATTAACAACCCATTAGCAGCCCATTAACAACCCATTAGCAGCCCATTAACAAACCCCATTAGCACCCCATTAACAACCCATTAGCACCCCATTAACAACCCATTAGCACCCCATTAACAACCCATTAGCACCCCATTAGCACCCCATTAACAACCCATTAGCACCCCATTAACAACCCATTAGCACCCCATTAACAACCCATTAGCACCCCATTAACAACCCATTAGCACCCCATTAACAGCACCATTAGCACCCCATTAACAACCCATTAGCATCCCATTAACAACCCATTAGCACCCCATTAACAACCCATTAGCAACCCATTAACAACCCATTAGCAACCCATTAACAACCCAGTAGCACCCCATTAACAACCCATTAGCACCCCATCAGCAACCCATTAGCGCCCCATTAACAACCCATTAGCAACCCATTAGCACCCCATTAACAACCCATTAGCACCCCATTAACAACCCATTAGCACCCCATTAACAACCCATTAGCACACCATTAACAACCCATTAGCAGCCCATTAGCAACCCATTAGCACCCCATGAACAACCCATTAGCACCCCATTAGCAACCCATTAGCAACCCATTAGCACCCCATGAACAACCCATTAGCACCCCATTAGCACCCCATTAGCACCCCATTAACAACCCATTAGCAGCCCATTAACAACCCATTAGCAACCCATTAGCACCCCATTAACAACCCATTAGCAACCCATTAACAACCCATTAGCAACCCATTAGCACCCCATGAACAACCCATTAGCACCCCATTAGCAACCCATTAGCACCCCATTAACAACCCATTAGCACCCCATTAGCAGCCCATTAGCAGCCCATTGACAACCCATTAGCAGCCCATTAACAACCCATTAGCAACCCATTAACGACCCATTGTACACCGGTTCTCATGGGCTCTTGCCGGGCCAACCTCCGCATGCTGCGCAGAAGCTGATGTATGGCACCTGTGCAAAGTTGGGTCTCCAAGATTTGTTGGACTTCCAGCCATCTCTAGCACAGGCAGGGGCTGGGAATGATGGAGCTGGGGATGGTCGAGAAAAAAGATTGCTGAGTTTTCACCACCGGATAGATCCGGATAGCTGGGCCCACGACTCTTTTTTCGACTGTCTCATCGAGTACCTCATTGAGTACTAAGATAATCTATGTTATGTCCGACGCTTGTGGCACCCCAGCAGGACAGCCCTTGTTTTGTTTAAAGTTCTGTGGAGTTTCAGTTGCAAAGCCGCCATGGAAAATCGGCCACGAGTCGTCATCATCCTCATCATCATCAGCATCATCCATTGTTACACATCATAATCCACTACCATCCATATATCGTCAATTATCATCCATACCCCATGATCCTCTAGTAGATTCTAGTATCATTCATCATTCATCATTCATCACCATCACCATCATCATCATCATCATCATCCATTAAATATAACCAATAATTATCAACCATTAATAGCCAGTACTAGCCATACTAGTCACACCGTCATCATCATCCATTGTTATTTTCATAGAGTTGGATTATGGGAAAATTTACAGGAAAGCCCTATATTTGATGGTAAAAACCATGGTTTCCTGTAAATTTTCCCTTAAACCAATCCAGTGATATTTGTTTACCCAGCTGTTTGGATGTCCGGTTCAACATGGTTCGTTCGCGTCGTGAAAAAACGGCCAGGGGCTGATCGCCCTCTTGGAACACGAAGATGCCGCGAGCTTTCAAGAGGCGAGGCGTATACCACCGCCATGGTGTACACATATTTGAATGGATATTCATATATACATGTATATACATATATATATATATATATAATGGGATATTATTAGCCGAGTATATAAACATGTATCTTTGCATATATATATATATATATACTGTATCTATACATTATATAATTATATACTTATAATATATATACAGTATATAGATTGTGGTTTCCTAAAATGCGGGATATTAGCCAAGTCACCAGGAGTTATTAAGTCATGACGTGGATGATGACTGCAGGATACCCCGCAATGACTTAGGAAACCTCCATATTAGTTCACCTTCCCAAAGGCGGTGAATTCCAAGAACAGATGGCAGTTTCACCGTTCGGAGCAGCTAGTTTATGTTAGTTTCATAGGGTTTATACTGGGATGTTTGATATACCTAACTAAGTTGGTATGATAGCTGGGGTCTGAAAATAGGATCATTATACACCCCCAATATGTCGCCATGTCAACAGAAACAAACAATATCAAAAACATGTGGATTCAGGGCTACCCTATGTTCAGACAATCTTTGTTGGAGCAGGGAAAGTGTTTTTTTTCTTGAGTCACAAGAAGTGACACTTGGTGGGTTCAGATGGTTTTGAATGATTTATGATTGTTCGTATTTCTTGGGATAAAACCGGTTCACCCCAAAGTGAATTCGATTGAATTCTAAGAAGACATGTCAAATATGTCAACCTTTACACTAAACTGCTTTGCATAAGGAACTACTGGGTAATCATTCCATCCACAATGGGCCGTTTTAGCCGGCAGATTTGAGGAGCTACTTTGCCGTCCTAAGCCCAAATCAGAACATATCACTAATATGTCCTATCCCAGATGCAAAACTCATGATAGCTTTTTGCTATATGTATATATATATAGCTCATCCATATTCATATATATTCATGCATACCAATCCCCTGCTCCTCATCTCGGCAGACCTATGGGCCCCTGCGCTTCGTGGTGCAGTACGAATGCTTTGGCTCCGTCCAGGAGGCGTTTTTCCATGGTTTTTCCAGATGGATTATTTTGGGTTGACACATGTTGATAGCATCTGGGTAAATTTCATCACGACCGAAGCCTGTTCTCCCTCACTATAATCATAGTGACATGATCCCCATGGTGGGCCGAACTATTCAGCTTGGTGAATTATGATAATTTACCCAGAGAGCATTCTGTTGCATCATGTTGAACCCCCCTAGATCAGGCTGTCGATGGGGTTCTTCACCCCTGAGGCCGAGCTAAAAGAAGGTGGAAAGGACATCGAAGTGACCTTCGAAAACCGTGAGGAGTACGTGCGCAGGCAGGAAATCACCGATCAATGGAGGCTTTCACTTTCACGCGAAAATCATCTATAAATGAGGAATGTTCCACTGCCATGCTTACAGTATAGTGTGGATTATAAATGGAGTATAACCATGAACATCATCTATAAATGGAGGGTATAGAATTATGATTATAGTGTGGCACTGGACATTGATACTTATGTATATAGAGCTATACATCACAGGACTATACCCCAGCTGGTTATGTCAGAATGTGGAAGACCCTTCCTGATATTAATAGGAGAGAAATAGTACAATGCAGGGCCCACCAATTATGTTTGTTGGGTTCTAAACATTATAAAGCCATATAAAGCCATCTGATTCATGTTGGATATATCATATCATATATCTAGAAATAAAGCATACATAGTAAAATTCACAAGACTTGCCCGTACTCCATAGAATTGATAAGCAAAAATGAAACCGGGAAACCACCATAATTCATGAACAAAAAGCATGTAAAAGCCATGGGTTTCCTTTGTTTTCTTATGGTTCCGGTGAGCCGATATGTCCCAACCAAAACCAATCACTGCCAGATACTGCGACTACATCTTCCATACCTCGGTGGAACGTTCTCGGGCCTCGATTGGATGTCGTGATTGGATGATTGCAGGCTACCCTAATTGGAAAAGAAAAACGCTGGATTTCCGGTTTCCCAACAGTCAAAATATGTTAAAATCACCCGATTCCTGGATTTTCTGTGTGTGTTTTCTATGACCAAACTAGCCAGCGTTTGGGGCATGTCTCAATCTGACATGTCGCGTACGCAATCAGTTCATCAGTTCAGACCATGTGGCACGCTGTCCTTGCAGCCCATGCTGCATGGTGAAGCTGATGATGAGCTTCACCAAATACTTTCGCAGGGTTGGTAAATGTCCTAATTGTGATGACGTTCAACATCCGCAAAACAGGACATGTGCCAACCCGTGCTTTAAAAGGGACAGCATGGTGTTTTGGGCTTAGAAACAGAAGTTTGGTCATGTTTGGTCACCAGCTGAGGTCAGTTCAATGCTTTCAGAAAAGGCTTTGATCAATGCATCAAAGATACGCTTTTTAGGCGCACCGGGTCACCGGGTTGCCACGTTGTGTTTGTGTTTCCATGTGCAGAACATGCCAAAGAAAGCAGGATGGATGATATATGGCATAACAGACACCCATGGACACCCATGGACACCCCACCGACCTTATGGTCTATCCAGAAAAGATGAAAACACGAGCTTTCCGAGAACACAAGAGTTTCGGCATGTTGAAACGGCGCCGGGGCATTTGGGGGAGTATCAACTTCTATGCTCAGCTCAAGGTCTAAACTTCGCACACATCGCCGTCCCAAAGCCATATTAAATTTTGCCATCTGAAATGGTGTGCATTGCACTGTCATGGTTTTTAGATTCAATTGCTGGTTGTCTGCCAACGAAAAACACAAAAACCATGTAGAAATCTTAACTCATCTCCCCTTCACTGGCGAGCCGCAACATTTATCAGTCCCAGCTTCGGGTCACTTTTCTGATACAAAAAGGACATCTTGTGAATGTATTCTATTTACCTTTCACATCCTTTCACCCTTTCAATAAATGGGTCTGAAAATTTATGGGACAAGCCCCAGATCTTATTAGCTCACCACTTTCCCATTGTGGCCATGGCTAGATCCATTTTGGATATCCAACGTTTTCGGACAAACTCAGATGTTCACGAACCACACACTTTTTTTCTGAGGCCAGAAACTTTACGGAATCTGAGGATAATTGGCATAATTGGCGATCAAAAAGAAATGGTCACCAAAATCTGGCGACCATATATTGTCCGAAATTGTCCGAATGATTCCTAGATCAAAACATATGAACCATGGGTAAATACTTAGTACATCTCAGTACAATATAGCAATAGTCGACCCCCGCTGATGTTTCCGGGGGCAGTCCAGTGACAAGGCAACTCTTTAGATACGACGAGCTGGAGCTGCTCATTTGTGGCACCTTGCTGGAGACGAGTCACCGGTGGTGGTTGACACAGTTGACACCACACCGAGCTGGTGCTCTTTGACAATTTGGTTATCACTGAAGTTTCATGGGTATAGAATAAAGTTGATATGATATATATATATATATTATAGATTGATTGTTGATAGTGTTTGCACTGTTGAAGTTGTTTATGTTGCTTGATATTAATAAGAATATTGATGATCAATGATGATCATGATGACGATAACGATGAGGATAGGTGATCGTGTAGAACGGCATTGCTCTTCTTAACTTTAAACGAGATTGTGCGGAATTTGGTTGGATTACGTTTACGTTTGGGATCGCAGAGTATTGTCATTGTTCGTTGTACTCTTGCAATCTCTTGCATCTACCTGTGCCTTGAATCACGAACAGCATAGCAACTGTCAGACTGGCAGGTTTATTTTCAGATTCTTCAGTACCCTTTGGCAATCCAACATTGATATGTGTTCAATAGCTCATTTAGTTGGATTGAATTAAGCTCATTAAACAGTTAATATCGTTTACTGGTTGGTGGTTTGGAACATTTTTTTTCATAATCTATGGGATAGTCCTTCCCACTGACTTTCATATGTTTCAAGATGGTTAAAACCACCAACTGCCACCAACCAGTAAATGATATTATATAACCATATAACCATCATATATAACCATATCATTTATTATAATCCTCCAGTTATCACATGAATTAATGTCTCATAATACATGGAACACATCCATCGTACATGCCGGCGAGGCTCCAAAGAATTGGACTTCAGAGCACTGGAAACAGCAGCGACCTACCAGGAGCGAGCGATTTGTTCGGCTTCTTCGCTGGTTTTTGAAAAAAGGCTGGTAGGCTGGTAGCAACAAGAAACTGGGAAAAAGTTGGGATATAGCCTTCATAGTGCTTGATATTTTGGTAATTTGTAGTTGAACAGTTGGATCGATCCAATAAATCAATCTTTGGTGGATTTACCAAGAAGCACGGAAACAAAAAAATGGTGGTTTAACCATCAAACAATGAGGTTTCACCAGTGAATGCAATGATTTTTACATAGTGGTGGTATATAATGAATGGGATGATGACATGGGACCCACCACCAACACAACCAACAATAGTGGATAGCTAAAAAGTATCGACTTTTGATGATCGATGACTGGATGAAATGCATAATGTGGTAAAGCCAATGGCACACAATTTTGGGAATGGTTTGTAGCAACTATTTCTGGAATTGTTCTTTTTCGCATTTACAGAATCTGACTGAAATTGCACTTGTACCATTTTGTACCCAGAAACATGATGAGAGTTCTCAAAATCTTCAGACACACAAAACCTTGGAGTTTGGGTCCTGAGCATTCCTGAGCTATCTTCATCAGCTACGCTGAGAAATCCATTCAAATCCCAGCACGAAAATGGCTGGGCATCTGCAACAAAAAGCCATGGATCTTCGAAGCTGCCAGAGGGTACCTTCTCCCCATGATTTCTGAAATTCTGTGGCAGAATTGGTTCTAAAGCTCCAGCGTTTTTTTTTGGTTGGATCCTGGATGAGTCCAACATGCCGTGTTTCGTTGGCGGTACTTGGCGCCACATAGCGCGCTTACTTAAGACACCCAAAGAGATTCAGGAAAAGCAAAGAATTCACCAAATGAGTTTTACAATCTACCATAATGATTCATAATGTTTCCCCCAACATTTGATGCTTATCTTTGTTTTGATGTGTGTGGGATATTTTTTAGCACAAGTTCTGCAGCGCTTCGGCCAGGATGGCTTCACCAAAAGCAGCGCACCGGTGAAGTGGTTCTGGGAGGTGGTCCACAACCTGAGCCCCGAAGAGAAGAGGAGTTTACTCCAGCCTGGGTGCCCCGAGGGATTCTGGCTGGAATTCTGGCTGGAGAAGTGGCTGATTTTTTCTGTTTGCCATGTATAGCTAAGCCATACAATTATACGTATATTTATACTTAAATTTATACGTATATTTATACGTATATTTATACGTATTTATACGTATATTTATACGTATATTTATACGTATATTTATACGTATTTATACGTATTTATACGTATTTATACGTATACATACGTATACATACGTATACGTATACGTATGTATACGTATACATACGTATACATACGTATTTATACGTATACATACGTATACATACGTATACGTATACATACGTATACATAGTTACATACCTACCTATACCTACCTACCTACCTACCTACCTACCTACTAACCTAACCTAACCTAACCTAACCTAACCTAACCTAACCTAACCTAACCTAACCTAACCTAACCTAACCTAACCTAACCTAACCTACCTACCTACCTACCTACTTACCTATTATACCTACCTACCTACGTGCGTACGTACGTACGTACGTACTTACGTACTTACGCACTACATACCTACATACATACATACATACAAACATACATACATCCATCCATCCATGCATGCATGCATGCATGCATACATACATAGATACATAGATACATAGATACATAGATGCAGACAGACAAACAGACAGACAGACAGACAGACACACACGCACAGACACACAGAGACACAGACACACATTGACACACATTGACACACATTGACACACATTGACACACATTGACACACATTGACACACATTGACACACATTGACACACATTGACATTACATTACATTACCTTACATTACATTACATTACATACACACATACACACATACACACACAAATACACACACATACACAAATACACACAAATACACACATACACATACACACAAACATACACACACACATACACACTTGACAGACCGTTTGTCGTCTATGAGTCACTTCTTGTTTCCCATCAGGGGGATCTGGATATTCCAGTTTAAGGCCTTTTTCAGCAAAAAACATGAAACTGTTCCGTTCGGAAGAACTGCAAAACCGGATTCTGTTGTGTACATACTGATGAGAAACAGTCTCTCACTGAAACGGAATGAAATGACGGAAAAACAGCAGGTACGTGGAGTTGATCAGACTCCACATCTTAGTCTACTGCATGGAGCTTCGTTGGCGACAGCCATGCAGCGACTCTGTTGCCCCCTGCTGCTAGTAACGAGTTAAAACTTAGACGCCGGAGTAATAGCCCTTTGGTACAGGGGTTGCCCCCACACACGAAGGCCGTATGTCGCAAAGGTGCCGAAAATCTAATACGGAAAAACGGAAAGCTGAATTATGTACAGGGACTACGAAAATGGATCAGCAGCCATTGGTGGCAGAGAAAGCACGGTTGACCTGAGCAAGGTTGCTACGAGTTGGCCAAACCCTTTCTGTACATACAGGGCTCCCGGCTGCAAAAGGCTTGATACGAAATCCGGCGGATAGGACTATTTTCGAATTATGTTCGAATCAAGTGAGCCCGGCTCTTCAATCCGCTCAATCTAAGGCGGAGAGATCCCGCAGAAATACAGTCCCGAATTTGAGAAGTGTCTGGCTGGCGATATTGTACAGTTCGATCCATTGTATATATTGTATATTGACAGCAAAACCCAGCAACCCAAGTTGAAAATGAGATATCCCTGAAAGAGGGGATCGCCATGAGCGGAGCGAAGAGCTCGGAGATGGATTTAGAAGCAGAAGGAAGGAAAAGACAAAAAGAAGAACAGACACCATCATCAATGGAAAGACAGACCAAAACAAAGAAAGGTGAGGAAGAGAAAGATGAACAGAAGGAAGAGCAGGAGGATATTGAGAAGACCAGCCGGGAGTTGTTTCCTACAACACCCAGTGCATACAAGACCTTTTACACAAAAGAGCATAGCAAAGGCAAGGAGCCACGTTGGAAACCGCAGCAGGCAAACATAGAAGAGAGATCAATGCAAGCAAAAACTCCACACACGGCAAAAAAGGAAAAAGCATCATCCAGTGAAGCAACAGACCTCAGCAAGCAGCTGACAGAGCAGATCCGAGAAGCCCAAGAAACAATGGCCAAGATGCAAGCAGCCATGGAGAACAATTCGCAACCACCATTTGTCCAGGAAATGCAGCAACACATCCTCAACCTGCAGCAGAACATGAAGGAAGTACAGCAGCAGACAAAGGATTTAAGCAATGACATCCGTGATGTTGACATCCTGACCCAACACGTCCATGACACTCTTTACAGCCAGCAACAGAGAGAAGCAGCCAAGCAAACAGTGGCAAAAGGATGGCCGCAACACTTTACAGATGAGGAGCGTGACAACATCATCAGCTGGTATGTGCAAAAAGCTGGAGTCGGAGGACACTATAGCACAACACATGGCAGATACGTGCACGACCGATACCGAGGATCACCAGTTACCATCATGCATTGGAACAGTGCATGGGCAAAGCAGCAATTCGAGGCATACATTTACAAGCGCTACAACAAACAATACCCGGTGACAATCTGGGATGCCAGCAACAAGACCGTATACCTCGGCAACCAGCCGCACAAAATCCATTTCACACCGCAGACCAGTGACATGGAAAGAGACATCAACCTTACCATCAAAGCAGCGCTCCACATTTTGACCAACAACAGCAACAGTGACTTGGCAAACACATGGAGTAAAATAGCCGTCAAGTGGCAAGACAAACTGGCAGTGAGAGTGGCAGACAACGCCGTGATCTTTAAACTGCTTCGAGACAAGGGTACCCCTGCAGAGACAGCATCGTCGTCTTCGTATGCCACCCCATCGTCCGCACCAACGCAACAGGCAAAGCTACCACAAAAGGCAATGCCTGCCAAAGCCGCACCAAAGCCATCACGACCTCCGCCTAGCGAAAAGCCACAACAAGCACCCCAGAAGAAGAAGAAGAAGAAGACCAACCAATGATCAGCACGGGGCAGTGTGGCGAACACCATCTACGTTGGCTACGGATGATGATGGTGATCAACTTTGACTTTTGAGAGGACTCTGAGCGTGGCTAGTGTACAGTCATCTTAGGTTATCTCTCACATCATTTCCCAATCAACTAATTCATTTTTTTTGTACAGAGTAGATCCGCTGATAGCTACCTTGATGCTCACGTAGAGGCGATGTGTTAGTTACGTCCATCGGACGGCTAACATCATCAATTCGCAGTGTAGTTATCATAGTTTGATGTGGGTTTATCTTTGTACAGCATGATGCTTCTACCCACAAATTCGCCACGAAGCTGGCGGCATGGGGATCTCTGAGTCTACGTCCATCGGACAGACGAAGAGTGAACCTGCGAATATAGAGACTTTGTCTTTTGCGGTAGTTGCAGCGTGCCAAATCTTTTTGTTCCCTCTCCTGTGCCCAAAATTTCAAACAACTTCGGGCATTGGGGGTGTCAAAGGGAACTAGGTGGTAGTGCATGTAACATATTATGCATGTAACGCCATTGACTTTCACGCCACTTGACTTTGTGGCTCAAGACCGCAATTGTGAAGCAAAAGGAAACTGTGTGCTCGCTGCTCATCGTTGTTCGCCATTGAACCGTTGGTTAACTGCACGTGAGTACTGGAACATACAATACCCCGGACAAGGGTTCTATTTGTTCACACTAACTAACTAACTAACTAACTAACTAACTAACTAACTAACTAAGCAACTAACTAACTAACTAACTAGCTAACTAACTAACTAACTAACTGACTAACTGACTGACTAACTGACTGACCGACTGACTGACTAACTGAACTAACTAATTTAACTAACTCAACTAACTTCACTAACTTAACAGACTTAACAAACTTAACTAACTTAACATTGTTGACTAATTCAAGTAACGTAACTAATCTAACTAACTTAACTAAGTTAACTAACTTAAGTAACTTAACAAACTTAACAGACTTAACAGGCTTAACTAACTTAACTAACTTCACTAACTCCACCAACTTCACTTAAGTAACTTGACTTACTTCACTAACTTAACAGACGTAACTAAGTTAACAAACATCACTAACTTAACTAACTTCACTGACTTTACTAATTTAGTTAACCTAGCTAACTCCAGTAACTTCACTAACTTAGCTAACCAAACTAACTTAACTAATTTTACTAGCTTAATGAACTTAACTAACTCCACTAACATCACTAACTTAAGTAACTAAACTAAGTTCAGTAACTTCACTAACTTGACAAACTTAACTAACTTAGCTAAGTTGACTAATTCAAGTAACGTAACTAACCTAAGTAACTTAACTAAGTTAACTAACTTAACTAACCTAACTAACTTAACAAACTTAACAAACTTGACTAATTTAACTAACAAAACGAACTTAGCTAACTTAACTTACTTCACTAACTTAACTACACCACACTTCGTTACACTCAAGTACACTCAAGTACACTCAACTACACTACGCTACAACTACAACTACCACTACAGCTACAACTACTTACAGTACAGTATACTACAGTAAGTACAGTACACTACACCCCACTCCACTACACTACATTCAATTACACTACAACTCTACTACATTACACTACGCTACTCTACATTGCACTCAACTGCACTGCGCTACACTACACTACACGTACAAGTACAACCACAACCACAACTACAACTACGCTACTTTACATTACACTACACTAGACTACACTACACTACACGTACAAGTACAACCACAACCACAACTACAACTACGCTACTTTACATTACACTACACTAGACTACACTACATAACACTACTCTACATTACATTACACTAGACCCATTACACCTCTACGATACAACAGAAAATACACTACACTAACTACAGCACACCACAAGTACAACCCCACTACATTACAACTACAGCTACAGCTGCACTACACCACCCTACTTCCAGCAGTTGTGTGTGAGGTGACCGACCAGGTGACCACTGCAACCA